TTGTTAACAATATTTCTAGTTCGCGCGCGCGGAGCGGCCCCTGGGGGCCCCCGGACGAAAAGTACCCCGGCAAGGTCCCGAGAGAAGCCCGGGAGAAGCCACCAGACCACTCCAGGGGAGGGTATTTTTCGACACCCCTCACGAGGATCGTGGCCTCCGAGGGGGGAGCCGCAATCGACTACCCCCAAGAGCCCCCCAAGAGGCCCTGAGGGCCTCCAAAACGCCGTTAAGGAGCCCTAAGAGACTCCCAAGAGGTCCCCAAGAGGCCCCCAAGAGGCCCTAAAGAGGGCGCCAGGGCCAGCGGCATGAGCGAAGCGATTAAATATAATCATGTACCATGGAAGGAAAGGCAGATTAGTAAACGATTGCCGTGGGAAGCCCTGTCGATGCGCCTAAGCATTGACCATCCAGCCGCGCCAATAGGGACATCGTCGTCTGGCACCTGGCCTCGGGCGCCGCCGCATCCGTGTAATCATCACGACCAGCAGCCCTGCGTACGTGAAAACACGGCGCGCCCAAGGTTCTAAGGTAGACGTTTCAAATTACCTCTTGCCACCGCCTATGTGTGACTGTGGACGACTTCTTTGAGCTCCACTGGCCCGAAGTTCACCCACTTCGGCTTGTTGTCGCGCGCGCCGCGGGTGTTGAAGTGGAAGCCTCCGGGCTGCGCCTTGTCTGCCCACGTCCCTGTGACGTTGACCTCCTGGAAATAAATATCCGAGCACCGTGCTCCCAATCGACGTGCGTCGGCCTGTGCAACAAACAGCGCGTCCTCGACGGGCTTTCCGCGTGGAATGCTGACCAAAATAGACTTGCCCGGCTTCGCCAAGTCGAACCGCTGACCGAATACATTCTGCAGGTGTGGGTCGCCGGTGGCGGCCGCCTGCGTCGATGCTGGCGACGGCGCGGGCGCCGGCGCCGGCGATGGTGCCGGCGTAGGCGACGGTGTTGGCGTCGGCGTCGGGGCTGGCGACGGGGTCAGCGTAGGGGAGGAACGAGGCGTGGTGCCAGGGTCGGTGCCGACGTTGGGCGTCGGGCGTGGAATTGGGCGTCGGTCGTCGGACTGGTGACGGCGTCGGGCTGGCGTCGGACTTGGCGTCAGGCTCTTGGCGTCAGGTCGGGCGTCGGGCTCGGCTGGCGCCCCCACGAAGTTGTATCGAATAGCGCCGTAGCTTTGAGCAAGCTACGATTTTGGGCGATCTGAATTTCTGAGGGCAAATCCGCCGGCCCCCTTGTGGGGCACCAGGCTGTAGGAGCGAGGTGCGCAGTTTCCGTGACCAGTCGTAGGTTGTAGTTTCCAGTGTTACAGTTCTGCTTCTTGCTGGTTACTGTAACTAGTTGACTTATGGCTGGTTACTGTAACTAGTTGATTGACCGCGCGAGGGGGGGGGAGGCCCAAACCGGCTTTTTAGCACCCCCTGGGCGCGTTGTCTGAATTGCTGTGGGGGCTCGAAATCGACACCCCTCACGCAGATCCGCGGGGTCAGGGTCCAAAAACACAGGGGATTTGCCACATTTCTGAAATTCGGTGCCACCCCTCACGCAGATCCGCGGGGTCAGGGTCCAAAAACACAGGGGATTTTCCACAATTCTGAAATTCGGTGCCACCCCTCATGCAGATCCGCCGGGTCAGGCAGGCCGGCGGTCAGGGTCCAAAAAAACACGGGTATTCGCTACATTCTGAAAATTCCCCTTCGGGGCTAACCCCTCACGCAGTCAGCGGGGTCAGGGTCCAAAAACACAAGGGATTGCCCATTTCTGACAAATTCGGTGCACCCCTCACGCCAGAAGCGAGGGTCAGGGTCCAAAAACACAAGGGACTTTGCCACATTTCCGAAAAACGGTGCCACCCCTCACGCAGATCCGCGGGGTCAGGGTCCAAAATCACATGGGATTTGCAACATTTCTGAAATTCGGTGCCACCCCTCATGCAGATCCGCGGGGTCAGGGTCCAAAAACACACGGGATTCGCTACATTTCTGAAATTCGGTGCCACCCCGCACGCAGATCCGCGGGGTCAGGGTCCAAAAACACATGGGATTTGCCACATTTCTGAAATTCGGTGCCACCCCTCACGCAGATCCGCGGGGTCAGGGTCCAAAAACACAAGGGATTTGCCACATTTCTGAAATTCGGTGCCACCCCTCACGCAGATCCGCGGGGTCAGGGTCCAAAAACACAATGGGATTTGCCACATTTCTGAAATTCGGCGCCACCCCTCACGCAGATCCGCGGGGTCAGGGTCCCAAAACACAAGGGATTTGCCACATGTCTGAAATTTGGCGCCACCCCTTACGCAGATCCGCGGGGTCAGGGTCCAAAAACACAGGGGATTTGCCACATGTTTGAAATTCGGTGCCACCCTTCACGCACATCCATCGCGAGGCGTGGTAACCCAAACTGCGAGAACTCCCTCGGCCCTTTAATCGCAAGGTGCGGTAACCAAGCCCGTAAACCATACACGTCTTACCAATCGCCAGGCGTGGTAACCCCTCTTGTGATCAGTTGGTTTCGCTGATTGCGAATCGGCTTCGCATGAAGTTTCGATACTGCTTCACGACAGCGCCAAGGCCTCATGACTTAGCTCTTCCATGGCCCATTCTCCGAGAGAGGGGACCGGCGGCAGGGGGCGAAGCCCTTACGGATAAAACCCGCTTCCCGAACTGGAAGGAACGTCCCAGGAACTCCCACCGCCCGTTTGGTGGGTGTAATCAATGGTGCTCGAACTGCCGTAAGCCTGCCACCCTGAGTTCCCATCCACACCATTGGTGCAGTCGATAGCGAAGCCACCAGTCGTGCACATAGATCCCTCAAAATCATACCCAGAAATTGTTAAGTAATTCCCGTCAGGAGTGAACGTGACAGTCTTGACTCTTTCCCAGTTGTTCCGATTTCCGCTGGTGCTGAGTGCCGTACTGCCCAAATACACACCGTAGACGTTGTTGTCCATCGTGAAAAAACAGCTGACTGAACTCTTCTTCGTCTCCACCTGCGTCTCGCCCGCCGCAGTTAACTGCATGAGGTTGGAGTCGGAACCCTCCTCGCTTGCAATGGCGGCTGCCACAAGCGCGATGGCGAGTTTCACCGGCGCGGCCATCAGTCTGACGCGAACTAGGTAGTAAGTCTGGAAAGAGGCGATACAGTATCCTGAGGATGCGTCCTTTGCTGCTGCCCCTGACGGCGGGCAGCTTGAGCCAAAATAGCTTGAGCCAAAATGGCTACGGACCCGAATTCCTCTAGCTCTTTGTATACCGAGAGCTCTACGAGGTATTCCTCTAGCTCATCGAAGCCGACGAGCTCTACGAGGTATGCCGAAGAGCTCTAAGAGGTATACCGGAGAGCTCTACGAGGTATGTCGAGAAGCTCTACGAGGTATGTCGACGAGCTCTACGAGGTACCAGCTGCACCCCGCGCCGGAATTCCTCCAGCTCATCGACGCCGAAGAGCTCTACGGGGTACATGAGGGACGGTTTGGATACACCGCCAGGAAATCAACAGACGGAGTGCTCTACAGTTTGGGGACGTCTGCGATTGGTCTGCTAACAGAGCTACAACTGAACAACGACTTGAACTCCGTAATAACTCGTAGAGTTTCCCTAGGAGCGAAGCGGCGAAGCTAGAGAGTAATACCTCGTAGAGCTCTTCGGTATCGATGAGCTAGAGGAATTCCGGCGCAGGGCGGAGCGAGTACCTCGTAGAGCTCCTCGACATCGATGAGCTAGAAGAATTCCGGCGCGGGATGGAGCTAGTTGGGCCACCCGTCCCGGAAAGAAGATGTGACTACATGGGCTCGGTTTTCTTGAGATTTGACAGAGGTTCGAAAGGTTTGGCCTCCTGGGAGCTTCTTGGGGCGAAAGGCTAGACTTTTCAATTCGTGGTCTCCCTCTTGCGGCCATCCTGGGGCCCTCTTGGGCCGTCTTGGGTGCCTTTTGGGCCGTCTCGGGGCCCTCTTGGGCCGTTTTGTCGGCCTCTTGGGAGCCTCTTGGGCCGTCTTGGGGCGATCTTGGGGGCCTCTCGGACCGCCTTCAACGCGGTGAAAGCCGAAAAGCCGTGTATGCTAAAAATGCACGTTTCCCGATAAGAGATCAATGATTTTGGCCTCCTGGGGGCCTCTTTGGAGCCTCTGGGGGCCTCTTGGGGCTTCTTGGAAGGTTCTTGGGGCCTCCTGGGGAGGCGAAAAGTTAGACTTTTCAATTCGTGGTCCCCCCCTTCTTGGGGCCATTTTGGGGCCCTCTTGAGCCGTCTTGGGCGCCTCTGGGGCCGCATTGGGGCCCTCGTGGGAGCCTCTGGGCCGTCTTGGGGCGGCCTTGGGGGCCTCTTGGGCTGTCGTCAACGCCGTGAAAGCTGAAAAGCCGTGTATGCTAACAGTGAAATTTTTCCCATCGGAATTCCATGATTTTGGCATCCTGAGCGCCTCTTGGGACGCCTCTTGGGGGCCTCTTGGTACTTCTTGGAGGGCTCTTGGGGCCTCCTGGGAGTTTTTGGGGCGAAAGGCTAGACTTTTCAATTCGTGGTCCCCCTCCTGAGGCCGTCTTGGGGCCCTCTTGGGCGCCTCTGGGGCCGTCTTGCGACCCTCTTGGGCCGTGTTGGGGGCCTCTTGGGAGCCTCTTGGGCCGTCTTAGGGCGATCTTGGGGGCCTCTTGGGCCGTCGTCAACGCCGTCAAAGCCGAAAAGCCGTGTATGCTAAAAATGCACGCTTTTCATAAGAAAATTAATGATGTTGGTCTCTAGGGACCTCTTGGGGCGCCTGTTGGGCGCCTCTCGGGGCGTCTCGGAAGCCTCTTGGGCCGTCTTTGGGCCGTCTTGGGCATGTTGGGCCGTCTTGGAGCCGTCTTGGACCCCTCTTGGACCGTCTTGAGCGCCCAAGACGGCCCAAGAAGCGCCCAAGAGGCCTCCAAGACGCCCCCAGGCGGCCATGAACACTCATCCCTCCGCCCCTCCCCCCTCCCCTGGACCCCCACCCTGCGCCCGAATTCCTCTAGCTCTTTTTTTTTTTTTCTGTGGCTGGAATTGGCCAACGTCTGCGCTGCTGGAGGTGGCCAAAGTCCACGTCCAGCCGCGAGGGCGCTCACCTGAAGCAACTGAGCACCGTATTAGCTTGGGCCAGATGAAAGAAGTTGTGTGCACCTACGCAGCGCTGTCTTTCTCGACAGCGGTAGCTGCGAGAGCGCCGGATCCATGGATCGCCTCCTGCGAAAGTTTGCGGGACGTCAGAAGCGAGAGAGAGAGAGAGAGAGAGAGAGAAGCAAACTAGCAGGGCAATGGACACGCGGAAGAGACATGAAGGTGACAACAAAAATTGCAAAAGAGTTTGTCCTGCACTCGCGTGGCAAGCTGACGAGGGTCGAGAGGCCAGACAGCTACAACTCGAGGTGCGGCGCTCTGCATTGCGCAGAACATTCGGCAGGGGAGGACGTTGCACTGAATATAATCATGTACCATGGAAGGAAAGGCAGACTTAGTAAACGATTGCCGTGGAGCCCTGTCGATGCGCAGCATGACCATCCAGCCGCGCCAATAGGGACATCGTCGTCTGGCACCCTGCCTCGGGCGCCGCCGCCTCCGTGTAATCATCCTCGCCCAGCAGCCCTCCGACGTGAAACCCAGCGCGCCCAAGGTTCTTAAGGTAGACGTTCAAATACCTCTGCCCCTCGCCAGTGTGACAGTGGACGACTTTGAGCTCCACTGGCCCGAAGTTCACCCACTTCGGCTTGTTGTCGCGCGCGCCGCGGGTGTTGAAGTGGAAGCCTCCGGGCTGCGCCTTGTCTGCCCACGTCCCTGTGACGTTGACCTCATGGAAATAAATATCCGAGCACCGTGCTCCCAACCGACGTGCGTCGGCCTGTACAACAAACAGCGTGTCCTCGACGGGCTTTCCGCGTGGAATGCTGACCAAAATTGACTTGCCCGGCTTCGCCAAGTCGAACCGCTGACCGAATACATTCTGCAGATGTGGGTCGCCGGTGGCGGCCACCTGCGTCGATGCTGGCGACGGCGCGGGCGCCGGCGCCGGCGATGGTGCCGGCGTAGGCGACGGTGTTGGTGTCGGCGTCGGGGCTGGCGACGGGGCCGGCGTAGGCGAAGGCGTTGGTGCCAGGGTCGGTGCCGACGTTGGCGTCGGCGTCGGACTTGGCGTCGGCGTCGGACTTGGTGACGGCGTCGGGCTGGGCGTCGGACTTGGCGTCAGGCTTGGCGTCGGGCTCGGCGTCGCCCCCCCGAAGTTGTATCGGTAAGCGCCGTGCTTTGAGCAAGCTCCGATTTGGGGCGATCCTGAATTTGAGGGCAAATCCGCAGGCCCCCTTGTGGGGCCACCAGGCTGTAGGAGCGAGGTTCGCAGTTCCCTGTACCAGTTGTAGCTTGTAGTTTCCAGTGTTACAGTTCTGTTTCTTGCTGGTTACTGTAACTAGTTGATTTATTGCTGGTTACTGTAACTAGTTGATTGACCGCGCGAGGGGGGGGGAGGCCCAAAGTGGCATTTTAGCGTCTCCTGGGCGCGTTGTCTGAATTGTTGGGGGGGCTCGAAATCGACACCCCTCACGCAGATCCGCGGGGTCAGGGTCCAAAAACACATGGGATTTGCCACATTTCTGAAATTCGGTGCCACCCCTCACGCAGATCCGCGGGGTCAGGGTCCAAAAACACAGGGATTTGCCACATTTCTGAAATTCGGTGCCACCCCTCACGCAGATCCGCGGGGTCAGGGTCCAAAAACACATGGGATTTGCCACATTTCTGAAATTCGGTGCCACCCCTCACGCAGATCCGCGGGGTCAGGGTCCAAAAACACATGGGATTTGCCACATTTCTGAAATTCGGTGCCACCCCTCACGCAGATCCGCGGGGTCAAATGGGATTTGCCACATTTCTGAAATTCGGTGCCACCCCTCACGCAGATCCGCGGGGTCAGGGTCCAAAAACACAGGGGATTTGCCACATTTCTGAAATTCGGTGCCACCCCTCACGCAGATCCGCGGGGTCAGGGTCCAAAAACACTGGGGATTTGCCACATTTCTGAAATTCGGTGCCACCCCTCACGCAGATCCGCGGGGTCAGGGTCCAAATACACAGGGGATTTGCCACATTTCTGAAATTCGGCGCCACCCCTTACGCAGATCCGCGGGGTCAGGGTCCAAAAACACAGGGGATTTGCCACATTTCTGAAATTCGGTGCCACCCTCACGCAGATCCGCGGGGTCAGGGTCCAAAAACACAGGGGATTTGCCACATTTCTGAAATTCGGTGCCACCCCTCACGCAGATCCGCGGGGTCAGGGTCCAAAACACATGGGATTTGCCACATTTCTGAAATTCGGTGCCACCCCTCACGCAGATCCGCGGGGTCAGGGTCCAAAAACACAGGGGATTTGCCACATTTCTGAAATTCGGTGCCACCCACCACGCAGATCCGCGGGGTCAGGGTCCAAAAACACATGGGATTTGCAACATTCCTGAAATTCGGTGCCACCCCTCACGCAGATCCGCGGGGTCAGGGTCCAAAAACACAGGGGATTTGCCACATTTCTGAAATTCGGTGCCACCCCTCACGCAGATCCGCGGGTCAGGGTCCAAAAACACACGGGATTTGCCACATTTCTGAAATTCACAGGGGATGTGCCACATTTCTGAAATTTGGTGCCACCCCTCACGCAGATCCGCGGGGTCAGGGTCCAAAAACACAAGGGATTTGCCACATTTCTAAAATTCGGTGCCACCCCTCACGCAGATCCGCGGGGTCAGGGTCCAAAAACATAAGGGATTTGCCACATTTCTGAAATTCGGTGCCACCCCTCACGCAGATCCGCGGGGTCAGGGTCCAAAAACACATGGGATTTGCCACATTTCTGAAATTCGGTGCCACCCCTCACGCAGATCCGCGGGGTCAGGGTCCAAAAACACAGGGGATTTGCCACATGTCTGAAATTCGGCGCCACCCCTTACGCAGATCCGCGGGGTCAGGGTCCAAAAACATAGGGGATTTGGCACATTTCTGAAATTCGGTGCCACCCTTCACGCACATCCATCGCAAGGAGTGGTAACCCAAACTGCGAGAACTCCCTCGGCCCTTTAATCGCAAGGTGTGGTAACCAAGCCCGTAAACCATACACGTCTTACCAATCGCCAGGTGTGGTAACCCCTCTTGTGATCAGTTGGTTTCGCTGATTGCGAATCGGCTTCGCATGAAGTTTCGATACTGCTTCACGACAGCGCCAAGGCCTCATGACTTAGCTCTTCCAGGGCCCATTCTCCGAGAGAGGGGGCCAGCGGCAGGGGGCGAAGCCCTTACGGATGGAAAACCCGCTTCCCCGACATCCAAGGACGTCCCAGGAAACTCCAACGCCCGTTTGGTGGGTTGTAATCAATGGTGCTCGAACTGCCGTAAGCCTGCCACCCTGAGTTCCCATCCACACCATTGGTGCAGTCGATAGCGAAGCCACCAGTCGTGCACATAGATCCCTCAAAATCATACCCAGAAATTGTTAAGTAATTCCCGTCAGGAGTGAACGTGACAGTCTTGACTCTTTCCCAGTTGTTCCGATTTCCGCTGGTGCTGAGTGCCGTACTGCCCAAATACACACCGTAGACGTTGTTGTCCATCGTGAAAAAACAGCTGACTGAACTCTTCTTCGTCTCCACCTGCGTCTCGCCCGCCGCAGTTAACTGCATGAGGTTGGAGTCGGAACCCTCCTCGCTTGCAATGGCGGCTGCCACAAGCGCGATGGCGAGTTTCACCGGCGCGGCCATCAGTCTGACGCGAACTAGGTAGTAAGTCTGGAAAGAGGCGATACAGTATCCTGAGGATGCGTCCTTTGCTGCTGCCCCTGACGGCGGGCAGCTTGAGCCAAAATAGCTTGAGCCAAAATGGCTACGGACCCGAATTCCTCTAGCTCTTTGTATACCGAGAGCTCTACGAGGTATTCCTCTAGCTCATCGAAGCCGACGAGCTCTACGAGGTATGCCGAAGAGCTCTAAGAGGTATACCGGAGAGCTCTACGAGGTATGTCGAGAAGCTCTACGAGGTATGTCGACGAGCTCTACGAGGTACCAGCTGCACCCCGCGCCGGAATTCCTCCAGCTCATCGACGCCGAAGAGCTCTACGGGGTACATGAGGGACGGTTTGGATACACCGCCAGGAAATCAACAGACGGAGTGCTCTACAGTTTGGGGACGTCTGCGATTGGTCTGCTAACAGAGCTACAACTGAACAACGACTTGAACTCCGTAATAACTCGTAGAGTTTCCCTAGGAGCGAAGCGGCGAAGCTAGAGAGTAATACCTCGTAGAGCTCTTCGGTATCGATGAGCTAGAGGAATTCCGGCGCAGGGCGGAGCGAGTACCTCGTAGAGCTCCTCGACATCGATGAGCTAGAAGAATTCCGGCGCGGGATGGAGCTAGTTGGGCCACCCGTCCCGGAAAGAAGATGTGACTACATGGGCTCGGTTTTCTTGAGATTTGACAGAGGTTCGAAAGGTTTGGCCTCCTGGGAGCTTCTTGGGGCGAAAGGCTAGACTTTTCAATTCGTGGTCTCCCTCTTGCGGCCATCCTGGGGCCCTCTTGGGCCGTCTTGGGTGCCTTTTGGGCCGTCTCGGGGCCCTCTTGGGCCGTTTTGTCGGCCTCTTGGGAGCCTCTTGGGCCGTCTTGGGGCGATCTTGGGGGCCTCTCGGACCGCCTTCAACGCGGTGAAAGCCGAAAAGCCGTGTATGCTAAAAATGCACGTTTCCCGATAAGAGATCAATGATTTTGGCCTCCTGGGGGCCTCTTTGGAGCCTCTGGGGGCCTCTTGGGGCTTCTTGGAAGGTTCTTGGGGCCTCCTGGGGAGGCGCGGCATGCTAGCAGGTCCATCTGAGGTAGTTCAAATTCGTGGCCCCTTCAAATTGGCATCTTTGGGGCAAATCTTGAAGCGTTCTTGGGACGCACTCTGGGGCCGAATTGGGGCCCTCGTGGGAGCCTCTGGGCCGTCTTGGGGCGGCCTTGGGGGCCTCTTGGGCGGTCGTCAACGCCGTGAAAGCTGAAAAGCCGTGTATGCTAACAGTGAAATTTTTCCCATCGGAATTCCATGATTTTGGCATCCTGAGCGCCTCTTGGGACGCCTCTTGGGGGCCTCTGGGTACTTCTTGGAGGGCTCTTGGGGCCTCCTGGGAGTTTTTGGGGCGAAAGGCTAGACTTTTCAATTCGTGGTCCCCCTCCTGAGGCCGTCTTGGGGCCCTCTTGGGCGCCTCTGGGGCCGTTCTTGCGACCATCTTGGGCCGTGTTGGGGCCTATTGGGAGCCTCGGGGCCCCGTTTTGGGGCGATCTGTGGGACTCTTGGGCGTCGTCAACGCCGCAACCACGCCGTGAGGAGTGAACCTGCGTGTATGCTAAAAATGCACGCTTTTCATAAGACAATTAATGATGTTGGTCTCTAGGGACCTCTTGGGGCGCCTGTTGGGCGCCTCTCGGGGCGTCTCGGAAGCCTCTTGGGCCGTCTTTGGGCCGTCTTGGGCATGTTGGACCGTCTTGGAGCCGTCTTGGACCCCTCTTGGACCGTCTTGAGCGCCCAAGACGGCCCAAGAAGCGCCCAAGAGGCCTCCAAGACGCCCCCAGGCGGCCATGAACACTCATCCCTCCGCCCCTCCCCCCTCCCCTGGACCCCCACCCTGCGCCCGAATTCCTCTAGCTCTTTTTTTGTTTTTTTTTCAGTGGCTGGAATTGGCCAACGTCTGCGCTGCTGGAGGTGGCCAAAGTCCACGTCCAGCCGCGAGGGCGCTCACCTGAAGCAACTGAGCACCGTATTAGCTTGGGCCAGATGAAAGAAGTTGTGTGCACCTACGCAGCGCTGTCTTTCTCGACAGTGGTAGCTGCGAGAGCGCCGGATCCATGGATCGCCTCCTGCGAAAGTTTGCGGGGCGTCAGAAGCGAGAGAGAGAGAGAGAGAGAGAGAGAGAAGCAAACTAGCAGGGCAATGGACACGCGGAAGAGACATGAAGGTGACAACAAAAATGGCAAAAAAGAGTTTTGTCCTGCACTCGGTGGCAAGCTGACGAGGGTCGAGAGGCCAGACAGCTACAACTCGAGGTGCGGCGCTCTGCATTGCGCAGAACATTCGGCAGGGGAGGACGTTGCACTGAATATAATCATGTACCATGGAAGGAAAGGCAGACTTAGTAAACGATTGCCGTGGAGCCCTGCCGATGCGCAGCATGACCATCCAGCCGCGCCAATAGGGACATCGTCGTCTGGCACCCTGCCTCGGGCGCCGCCGCCTCCGTGTAATCATCCTCGCCCAGCAGCCCTCCGACGTGAAACCCAGCGCGCCCAAGGTTCTCAAGGTAGACGTTCAAATACCTCTGCCCCTCGCCAGTGTGACAGTGGACGACTTTGAGCTCCACTGGCCCGAAGTTCACCCACTTCGGCTTGTTGTCGCGCGCGCCGCGGGTGTTGAAGTGGAAGCCTCCGGGCTGCGCCTTGTCTGCCCACGCCCCTGTGACGTTGACCTCCTGGAAATAAATATCCGAGCGCCGTGCTCCCAATCGACGTGCGTCGGCCTGTACAACAAACAGCGTGTCCTCGACGGGCTTTCCGCGTGGAATGCTGACCAAAATAGACTTGCCCGGCTTCGCCAAGTCGAACCGCTGACCGAATACATTCTGCAGGTGTGGGTCGCTGGTGGCGGCCACCTGCGTCGATGCTGGCGACGGCGCGGGCGCCGGCGCCGGCGATGGTGCCGGCGTAGGCAACGGTGTTGGTGTCGGCGTCGGGGCTGGCGACGGGGCCGGCGTAGGCGAAGGCGTTGGTGCCAGGGTCGGTGCCGACGTTGGCGTCGGCGTCGGACTTGGCGTCGGCGTCGGACTTGGTGACGGCGTCGGGCTGGGCCTAGGAACTTGGCGTCAGGTGGCGTCGTGCTCGGCGTCGCCCCCGAAGTTGTACTCCAGGTAAGCGCAGTGTTTGGGAGCAAGCTGCCGATGTTGGGCGATCATGGAATGGAGGGCAAATCCTGCAGGCCCCCTTGTGGGGCCACCAGGAGTAGTGTAGCTGTCGAGTTCATGCGTTCCTTACCAGTTGACTTGTTAGTTTTCCAGTGTTTTTACAGTTCTGTTTCTGCTGGTTAATGTAAATAGATGATTTTACTTCTTGCTGTATACTGTAACTAGTTGATTGACCGCGCGAGGGGGGGGAGGCCCAAACAGAATTTTTAGCCTCACCTGGGCGCGTTGTCTGAATTGCTGGGGGGGGCTCGAAATCGACACCCCTCACGCAGATCCGCGGGGTCAGGGTCCAAAAACACACTGGATTTGCCACATTTCTGAAATTCGGTGCCACCCCTCACGCAGATCCGCGGGGTCAGGGTCCAAAAACACATGGGATTTGCCACATTTCTGAAATTCGGTGCCACCCCTCACGCAGATCCGCGGGGTCAGGGTCCCAAAACACAGGGGATTTGCCACATTTCTGAAATTCGGTGCCACCCCTCACGCAGATCCGCGGGGTCAGGGTCCAAAAACACAAGGGATTTGCCACATTTCTGAAATTCGGTGCCACCCCTCACGCAGATCCGCTGGGTCAGGGTCCAAAAACACAAGGGATTTGCCACATTTCTGAAATTCGGTGCCACCCCTCACGCAGATCCGCGGGGTCAGGGTCCAAAAACACAGGGGATTTGCCACATTTCTGAAATTCGGTGCCACCCCTCACGCAGATCCGCGGGGTCAGGGTCCAAAAACAAATGGGATTTGCCACATTTCTGAAATTCGGTGCCACCCCTCACGCAGATCCGCGGGGTCAGGGTCCAAAAACACAGGGGATTTGCCACATTTCTGAAATTCGGTGCCACCCCTCACGCAGATCCGCGGGGTCAGGGTCCAAAAACACAGGGGATTTGCTACATTTCTGAAATTCGGTGCCACCTCTCACGCAGATCCGCGGGGTCAGGGTCCCAAAACACATGGGATTTGCCACATGTCTGAAATTTGGCGCCACCTCTTACGCAGATCCGCGGGGTCAGGGTCCAAAAACACATGCGATTTGCTACATTTCTGAAATCCGGTGCCACCTCTCACGCAGATCCGCGGGGTCAGGGTCCAAAAACACACGGGATTTGCCACATTTCTGAAATCCGGCGCCACCCCTCACGCAGATCCGCGGGGTCAGGGTCCAAAAACACATGGAATTTGCTACATTTCTGAAATCCGGTGCCACCTCTCACGCAGATCCGCGGGGTCAGGGTCCAAAAACACACGGGATTTGCCACATTTCTGAAATTCGGCGCCACCCCTCACGCAGATCCGCGGGGTCAGGGTCCAAAAACACATGGGATTTCCTACATTTCTGAAATTCGGTGCCACCCCTCACGCAGATCCGCAAGGTCAGGGTCCCAAAACACAGGGGATTTGCCACATTTCTGAAATTCGGCGCCACCCCTCACGCAGATCCGCGGGGTCAGGGTCCAAAAACACAGGGGATTTGCTACATTTCTGAAATCCGGTGCCACCCCTCACGCAGATCCGCGGGGTCAGGGTCCCAAAACACAGGGGATTTGCCACATGTCTGAAATTTGGCGCCACCCCTTACGCAGATCCGCGGGGTCAGGGTCCAAAAACACAGGGGATTTGCTACATTTCTGAAATTCGGTGCCACCCTTCACGCACATCCATCGCAAGGCGTGGTAACCCAAACGCGCGAGGAACTCCCTCGCCCTGAATCGCAGGTGTGGTAACCAAGCCCGTAACACCATACACGTTACCAATAGCAGGTGTGTAACCCCTCTTGTGATCAGTTGGTTTTGCCGATTGCGAATCGGCCTCGCATGAAGTTCGATACTGCTGCACGACAGCGCCAAAGCCTCATGACTTAGCTCTTCCATGGCCCATTCTCCGAGAGAGGGGGCCGGCGGCAGGGGGCGAAGCCCTTACGGATAAAACCCGCTTCCCGAACTGGAAGGAACGTCCCAGGAACTCCCACCGCCCGTTTGGTGGGTGTAATCAATGGTGCTCGAACTGCCGTAAGCCTGCCACCCTGAGTTCCCATTTACACCATTGGTGCAGTCGATAGCGAAGCCACCAGTCGTGCACATAGATCCCTCAAAATCATACCCAGAAATTGTTAAGTAATTCCCGTCAGGAGTGAACGTGACAGTCTTGACTCTTTCCCAGTTGTTCCGATTTCCGCTGGTGCTGAGTGCTGTACTGCCCAAATACACACCGTAGACGTTGTTGTCCATCGTGAAAAAACAGCTGACTGAACTCTTCTTCGTCTCCACCTGCGTCTCGCCCGCCGCAATTAACTGCATGAGGTTGGAGTCGGAACCCTCCTCGCTTGCCATGGCGGCTGCCGCGAGCGCGATGGCGAGTTTCACCGGCGCGGCCATCAGTCTGACGCGAACTAGGTAGTAAGTCTGAAAAGAGGCGATACAGTATCCTGAGGATGCGTCCTTTGCTGCTGCCCCTGACGGCGGGCAGCTTGAGCCAAAATAGCTTGAGCCAAAATGGCTACGGACCGAATCCTTAGCTCTTTGTTATACCGAGGAGCTATACGAAGTTACTTCTCTAGTCATCGAAGCACGAGCTCTACTGAGGTATGCCGAAGAGTCTAAGAGGTATACGAAGACTCTACGAGGTACGTCGAGAAGCTCTACGAGCGTCGACGAGCTCTACGAGGTACCAGCTGCACCCCGCCCCCCCGCGCCGGAATCTCCAGCCCAATCGACCGCCGAAGGAGCTCTACGGGGTACATGAGGGACGGTTTGGATACACCGCCAGGAAATCAACAGACGGAGTGCTCTACAGTTTGGGGACGTCTGCGATTGGTCTGCTAACAGAGCTACAACTGAACAACGACTTGAACTCCGTAATAACTCGTAGAGCTTCCCTAGGAGCGAAGCGGCGAAGCTAGAGAGTAATACCTCGTAGAGCTCTTCGGTATCGATGAGCTAGAGGAATTCCGGCGCAGGGTGGAGCGAGTACCTTGTAGAGCTCCTCGGCATCGATGAGCTAGAAGAATTCCGGCGCGGGATGGAGCTAGTTGGGCCACCCGTCCCGGAAAGAAGATGTGACTACATGGGCTCGGTTTTCTTGAGATTTGAAGAGGTTGGAAAGGTTATATTTAGAAACGCGTTTTTTCTTCCCTGTAGCAAGTCATGCCGCGCTCGCCATCTCAATATTGAATCTGTAGGTGCAATATTTCGATCTAAACACTAGGAGGAACTGATCAACTTATTGCTGACACCATAAATTTCATGTTTCGGGGATTCAAGTCGATGTTCTTAGAAAATCTCAGCTGGCATGAGCTTTCTCTGTGTCACGCAGCGAGTCATGCTCCGTTCGTCATCTCGCTATGAGCCCAGCAGCTGCAATATGACTACAAAAGACGTCGGCAATCGACTTAATGTAATGACTCGTAAAGCTCCCCTAAGCGCGAGACGGCGAAGCTGGAGTGTAATAAGTCGTAGAACTTCCCTGAGAGCGAAGCGGCGCTGCTAGAGAGTGATACCTCGTAAAGCTCTCCGGCATCGACGAGCTAGGGGAATTCCGGCGCGGGGTGGAGCTAGTACCTTGTAGAGCTCTGCGGCATCGATGTGCTAGAGGTATTCCAGCGCGGGGTGGAGCTAGTACCTCGTAGAGCTCTTCGGCACCGATGAGCTAGAGGAATTCCGGCGCGGGGTGCAGCTAGTACCTCGTAGAGCTGTTCGGCATCGATGAGCTAAAAGAATTCCGGCGCGGGGTGGAGCTAGTTGGCCCACCCGGCCCGGGCGAACAATGTGGCAACCTGGGGTCGATTTTTTGAAGGTTGTGACAGATTTGACAATTCGTTGGAAAAAACGATGTTCATTCCCTGTAGTGGATTATGACGCGCTTTGTGGTGAAAGTCTGAGGGCTGTAGCTGTAGCGCAGCTCTCGAAAGTTGGGGGGAACGATCCGTGGTCGGGAAGCATTTTTCCAGATGGTGAAGATTTCGTGAACTTGAAGAAAGCAAGGAGCGAACTACACAGCTCAAGTATCCTCTGCGTCTGTAGTAGATTATGACGCGTTCGCCTGTCGAATACTCAGGTCTCTAGCTTGAGTATTACTACTAAATCACTTGGCGGACGTAGTCTCGTTTGAAACGAAAAATACATGTTTCTATGTTTTAAGCTGTATTCGAGGGCGTTCTCTTTTATTCTGAGCTTCTCTCCAAGTGTAAAACTCTACGAGGGCCCTGGCGGTAATCTTAATCTGGTTGACGGTTTACCGCCGGCTCCCAGTTGGCCCACCCGGCCCGGGCGAACAATGTGACGACCTGGGGTCGGTTTTTTGAAGATTCTGAGAGATTTGACAATTCGTTTTGAAACCGATGTTTATTCCCTGTAGTGTATTATGGCGCGCTCTGTGGTAAAAGTCTGAGGGCTGCAGCTGTAGTGCACCTCTCGAAAATCACGAGGAACCATCGGCCGTCGGGATGCATGTTCCCAGATGTTACTGGTTTCGTGAAATTAACGAAATAAGGAAGCGAACTACACAGCTCCAGTATCCTCCGCACCTGTACTGGATTATGACGCGTTTGCCTGTCGAATTCTCAGGTCTCTAGCTTCAGTATTACTATTCAAACACTTGGCGGACGTAGTCCCGTTTGAAACGAAAAATACATGTTTTGAGTTTTAAGCTGATATTCGAGGGCTTTCTCGTCGTATTCTGAGCCTCTTTCGAAGTGTGAAGAGCTCTACGAGGGCCCTGGCGGTAACCTGGTTGACGGTTTACCGCCAGCTCCCAGTTGGCGCACCCGGCCCGGGCGGACAATGTGACCTGTGGTCGGTTTTTACAAGTTTGTGAGAGATTCAACAATTCGTTTTGGGAACCCAGATTTTCCATGGTGCAATTCGGAGGGCTGCAGCTGCGGCACAACTTTGTAAACCCGGCCAGGTTCAGGTTAAAGCACCTGCCCCTGACTTGTGGCGTATTTGACTCACGCCCCGGATTCCTGGCTCTACAGCAATTGCGGCAGCGGCAGCACCCGCCATCGTTCACGAGTTAACCCCGCTCCTCTACCATGCAAGTCCTCGGGGAGGACAGGCACGGGAACGATAAAGATGTTTTCTACGACCGATGCGAACGACACGAGCGTGAACGACCAATCACTCGAGCCACACGGCGTCGATCGCGACGCACGCTGGTTAACGATAACACGACCACCCGCCTGACCCAGTCACTCTCGTTATACCTAATTAACACTCCTCGGTCATCCTCATCCTCCTCCTCGATCCTTCTCCTCGATACACGTCGGTCGGAAGAAGTAGGTAAAAGCATGAAGTAGGAAGGCGGATCAAGTTGATTGGGTCCAGGCCCCCCCAGAGGATAAAAAAACACACAGCAAGAGCGTGTCGATTCTTGAAGTAGGAAGGCGCTTAAAGTAGATTGGGATATGGAAACCAGAAATACCTGCTTTCAGCGACCAGCGTGTATACCTAATCAACACTCCTCGATCCTCCTCCTCCTCCTCGATCCTTCTCCTCCTCCTCGATCCTGCTCCTCCACGTTCGATCCTCGAACCCAGTCACTCTTGCTATAAAATAACACTCCTCGATCCTCCTCCTCCTCCTCGATCCTTCTCGATCCTCCTCCTCCTCCTCCTCCTCGATCCTCCTCCTCCTCCTCCTCCTCGATCCTCCTCCTCCTCCTCCTCCTCCCCCTCACTCGACCTCCTCCTAGAGCCCCTCCTCGATCCTCCTCGCTCCTCCTCCTCCTCCTCCTCCTCCTCTCCTCGACCTCCTCCTCGATCCTTCTCCTCGATCCTCCTCCTCGATACTCCACGAGGGGCAGGGGGCAGGGGGCAAAGGGCAGAGGGCAGGAGCGGGCACCCCGACCAGGCCCTCCCCTCCAGGAGGAACGCCCCCCAGATCAGGCAGAGGCTGCTCACAGGAGGAACCCCTCCCCTCCAGGAGGGAACCCCTCCCCTCCAGGTGGAACCCCTCCAGGAGGAACCCCTCCCCTCCAGGAGGAACCCCTCCCCTCCAGGAGGAACCCCTCCAGGAGGAACCCCTCCCCTCCAGGAGGGAACCCCTGCCCTCCAGCCCTCCCCTTCCCTCCAGCCCTCCCCTCCCCTCCAGGAGGAGCCCCTCCCCTCCAGGAGGAACTCCTCCCCTCCAGGAGGACCCCCTCCCCTCCAGGTGGAACCCCTCCAGGAGGAACCCCTCCCCTCCAGGAGGAACCCCTCCCCTCCCCTCACCTGTCGCCTGACCTCCCCTCCAGGAGGAGCCCCTCCCCTCCAGGAGGAACGCCTCCCAGATCAGGCAGAAGCTGTTCACGCGCGACTTCGTCCTGGCGCTCCGAAGCAAGGTAGGGCTGGACTCGAGGGTTCGGGAGGGCTACGAGGGAGAGGAGGAGCAGGAGGAGGAGGAGGAGGAGGAGGAGGAGGAGGAGGAGGAGGAGGAGGAGGATCGAGTCCAGACATCTGGCGTCCCGATCTTTTCACAATGTTCTATGCCTCAGGGCCTTTGCCGGGCCTCGGGGCTGGCAGAACCTGCTCGG